AGAGGGAAGAGCCAACGGAGTCCGTAGAACTTGTCCGGAGTAGAGCTACCTCCCCCACCTGTCCAGGGTAGGCTCAAAACCCCTCCTCACCATACGCACACCCAAGGGGTACTCGGAGTAGGTAATGGGGGTTATGAATAGTGACAGGTGATTCAACTCAGGAAAGAAGGTGTAAGGAAGACAAGAGGGGAGAGCAAAGGGAGTAGAAACCAAGTCCGGGGTCGAGCTACTTCCTCCACCTTCCATGCGGTTAGGTCCAACCCTCCTCCACCCAATCACCACCCCAAAGGTCGCCAAGGATTAGTGAAGGGGGGAGGGGGGTGGTTTCGGTAGGTACAATATCTAATAAAACATGGCCATTAATGCAAGATGTTACCGTTTTCCAGCTCCCTTATCCAGAGTTTGAATCCTTGTGCTATAGAAATCAATATTATTTAATTGACTGTTAAGTCAAACAGATTTGTATTAGAACAATAATTATAACATCACAGTAATTACAATAAACAACCACAATTAACAGTACAATTAATTACAGTATTACATTCTACAAAATTTAAGACAAACCATAATCCCATCATGACATGATATATATACAATTTCTCAATTAGCTTTTGTTTGAAGTCAGGTAATGTAAAAAAAAAGAATACATCAAGTCGCATTTCCAAAGCAATTAGACTATACTTGTGACATTGTTTTTCCTAAGGCCAGGATTGCAACTTACATCAGAGAAGAGCAGCACCTCTCAGATACAGCTGTGGTATGGAGAGAGTTGTTCTGGGAGTATTTAAGAGGAGAACAGTCTCTGATAAGGAGTCTGAAGATTGTTCTCCATGAAAAGTGGTAGAGAGCCACAGCACACTGCAGCTCTAGAACTTCTCATTGCTGTAAATGAGAGACAGTTCAGATTTCAGCTTGTTCTTGTTCAACTGGAGCGATAAGAGCGTAGATGCGTTTCAGAGTTGTTTATTTTAAGGATTGAGTTTGTTTTATTGTTATTTTTGGTTTGGAGTTAAGGCACGGTGTGCGTGTTGAAGAGATCAGCGCTGGGTGCCAGATATGAATACCCCGGGGCCTAGAATGGTGGTGGCAAACCAGCAAGGTGAATTTGAGAGAGAAGAAAATTACTGAGGCGGAGGTTGGGAGGAGGTGTGTTGCAGCTTGAAAGTCAGTTTGGTGAGGTGTCTCTGCTTTGCTCTTAAACGCTGGCTTGTTGACACGGCTTGCGGGGAGTTGAATACGACTGGCTGAGTAAGGCGTGGTCACGCTTGTGTGATAACGCAGGTAGTCTACCATTACTTAACCTCCTATAAGCTCCATTCAACTGGAGAGATAAAAAGAGACGAGATGGTTTAAGAAGTTGTTTATTTTATGGATTGAGTGAGTTGTATATTGGTTTGCGTTAGCCCGGCTGTGGGACCGTTGCTTTGAAGAGATCTTCGTGGGTTGCCAGTCCTGCAATCCCCCAAAAAAGAGAGTTGTAGCGTTTGCGTTTGCCATGATAGGTTTGCTGCGTGTTTATGGAAGGCGCATGGGTGTGAGTGACTGTTTCCGTGCGCGAGCTCGGGGCTCTGGCGCTAGGAGTTGGCAACGCGCACGAGATGGCTCAAGTGCGGGGTAATGCTGGGCGCGAGCTCGGCTTCTAGCGCTAGGCGTTGGCAAGCGCACGAGCATCGGCCTCAAGTGGGAGCGGTAATGTCCTGTGGGCTGAGCTGGCTATAGCGCTAGGCGTTGGCACGCGCAGAGCTGGTCAATGTGCGCAGCGTAATGTCCTGTGGCGAGGTGGCTCTAGCGCTAAGGCGTTGGCACGCGCTCGGCGTAATGTCGGTGCGCGTGGAGTGGCTCTAGCGCTAGCAACGCGCACGGATGCTCGGCCTAAGTGCCGCTGCAAAATGTCCGTGGCGAGCTCTGCTTTTAGCGCTAGGCTGTTGGCACGCGCACGAGCTCGGATCGATTGTGCGCAGGCTGCTGGAAATGAGGAGTTGCCACCCCAGGAGATGCCATACGTTTACTTATATTGAGAGGAGGGCTGGCATCCAGAACGGGATGAATGTGGTAGAGAACGGGGACGAGTCATGGAGGAGAGATTGAGGGAGTCCCAGGGCCGCAGTCAAGTGGCTGTCCTATCGGAAGGAGAGGGGTTGTAGGAAAGGAATGAGAGGTTTACATGCAGGGAGCAGATGTTTTGAATTTGTTCAGACCAGGGGGTGTCGAGGGATTGTATAAGGAGTAATTTAGTCTATGAATGTTGATAAAATGTCCATAATGTTGTTTAGAATGTTTAAAGTATCCTGGGATCATCTCCACGGGCCTATAGTTGGGGACACTAACTGTCCAGGACATCCTGCATGGCAAGGAAAAACTCACAAATCCCCGTGGGGAAAAATAAGTTGAGGGAAACCTTCGGAAGAACTACATTGAGAGGGGAAATCCACTCCACGGACAGACCGGAAGCGTTTAGGATAAACAACAGAACAAGTACATTGCATACTCCTATAAGGATCTTCATATGAGGTGGAGCAGTGTGCTCGAAGTGGTTTTTAGAGAATGTATTTAAGTGCCGATGTAGATGAGGACGGAGTGAGATTGAGGCAGTACCGCGATGTATTGTCAGAGACTTGAGATTCGTTTTTGTCTTTGTATGTGCAGTGAGAGGGAGGAGGCATGCTGAATGAGGAGATGAAATGTGGTTGTTGAGAGCGCGCTTTCGAACATGATTCATTGGGGAGACTAGACGGTGAAAATGAGATTCATGAAGTACACATACCAGGAAGATTGTGATATTGTTCGATTAGGATGATCTTGGACCCCAGAAAATACCAACGCACAAGGGCCGGTCAGAAAGAGGGCCAGGGTGCGGTCAGGTTAGGCGTAAAAGCGTGAGCCAGGCCGGCGGAGGTGCACCAGGAGACCAGGAGAGAATATTCCTGGGGATCATGAGAAGGAAGACCCCTACAGCCACTCAGATGAGCACGCAAAAAGTGTGCGGGCAGTGCTGCACAAAGCAAGAGTGACGGAATGGGTTAGATAGCGGCCGGTTTGAAGGGCCACGCGAACAGTACTCAAGCGTCTTAGCAGGACAGGATGCAGAGGCCACCGTCGCGGGTTTTTTGTTGCAGAGTTTTGGTGCGGGTTGTGTCATGCGTTCTGCGAAGCTGAAAAGAGAAACCTCGAACCACTATCACTCGAGTGAAAAGGACCAAGGGAGAGTCAGACCACGTTTCCAGTCAGACCACGTCTTCGTAGACCACTGACTGATAGTCGATGCCGGCTCTTCCCGTCATTTGAAGCAGAACTTCCAAGCGTTGGATTGTTCAAACCCCAATAGGGAACGCGAGGGTTCCATGTGTCGACAAGTCCCCGATTGAATGGATGAGAGACACGAATGCGTCGAAGCGAGGCGTCGAGAATGCGGCAGGTGGCGGAAACTGTTGACCCTGCCCAAGACCGTTGGGGGGGGGGGCGGGGGGCTGGGGGGGAGGGGGCGGGGGGTTGTGGGGAATTGGGGGGGGGTAGTAGTTTTGTATTATATGGTGGGTTATGGTGTGGGGGGTGCTAGGGGCCACGGTGAGTGGGTTAGATTTAGGTAGGGTATGATCTAGATATTCTTATTCAAACAACGTGGACGGGTAGTCGATAGAGAGAAGATTTTAACAACTGGGTAAGTTTTGGGTGGACTTGGTGTGAGTGGGGAGTGAGCTGAGTTTGGTAGAGTGGGAGGGGCGGGGTGAGGGGCTGGGGGGGGGCGTGGGGGGGGGGGGGGGGGCTAGTGGTGGTATGGGGCCCCGGGGGGGGGTGTGGTGGGGCCCGCGGGAAAATCCCGTACCACACCCACAAAAGTATCTCTATCTTCCCCCCCCCATGCATGTACTAATATTAACCATTATGTACCACCCCCCCCCGGCCCCACCCCCACCCGCCCTCTCCGACACCAGAACACACCACCCCACCCCAAACATGTCCAAACTGAAAAAATGTTTAAATGACCCCACAACTCCCCACCACACCCCTACCCACCACCACCCCCCCACGCCCCCCATACCCCCATGTATCTCCCATCTCATGCCCGCACCCAAACCCACGCCCCCCCCGCAACATGTCCCCACCGTACTACCTCCCCACACCCCCAACCACACACGCCCTCAAAACTCCCATACATTTAACTTCTCCCCCCCACCCCCCATCCCACCACCACCCCGACAACTCCCATGCCATACCCCCAGAACACATATTTCCCCCACCTCCCCCACCCCAGCTTTCTGCCACTCCCCTTCTACCACCAAAAAACCATACAAAACCATTATGATTTTGGTCGTGCCCACCCCCGCCCAGACACCGCCCCCACCATCACCCACCCGCCTATACGACACCCCCCATCTCCTAATTCCCATCCCCCACCAAACACAGACACTAAAATCTCCAGCGCCACAGCCCCGACACCCCTCCGCCCACCCCCCTCATTACTCAATCTCCCTCAAGTCCATTCATACCCCCCCAAAGACCCTCCCATCTCCCCCCCCCATAATTAACAACAATGTTTCCCCCATCCCACACTACACCCCAGCAATAATTTAATTTACCGCCCCAACATTCCTAATCATATTTTTCATATGTAAATCCCCCCATTTATTTCAATCTCAAAGTACTCCCAAATGTTAAATCCCAGTACCCGCGAGCACGCATAGTTTTGCTCGGGGGTGGCGGGGGGCTGGATGGCCGTCTGGCGGGTGGGGGGGCGGGGTGGTGGGGAGGGTATGGAGTATGTATATATATATATATATGTGAGGGTTGTCTGGTGGGTTTTTAATTTTGTGATCTAGGTTGGGGTTGGCGGTTAAGTACTGTTACCAATTCAACGATGAGAATTAAGTTGAAAGGATTTTTTTGACTTAATTGTGAGTTTGTGTGTCGGTTTGACAATGGTTTTGAAGAGTTTTGGAGCTCTGAGGAGGTATCGTAAGGTGATGGTGGGTTGCTGTGTATTGGGGTAGTGCGGCTTGGATTCAGGGGATCGTGGTGGGCGCGGAGTGCATCTCAACGTACCCCCCCCCCGGCATCATACCTACCCCCCCAACACATTCATACCCCCTACAACCAATGCCCCTCTATGTCCACCTCCCAGTACATACACATCTCACAAACCCGCCATAACCATGCTATAGTACAAAATTAACCGCCCCATAAACTACAAGCCCCCCATAATATAATTCTACCCCCCCCACCCCCACAACCAGTGGTCACAAATTAGTATACCAACCCGACATCCCCATATCATCCGGCCTACATCACAAAGCCCATGTGTGTGTTTCCATTGCACCCACCCCTCACAACCCATCACCCACAATACCACCAACAAATTTTGTGCGATCCACCATTTTAAATGATATCCCCCAGCCTGACGCACAATGTCCACAGCAACTCGAATATACTAACAATTGTTCCCATACATCCGCCATCTGCCGCACCACCCACTCCCACATCCACAGGTCCCTCCCCAATATCCCGCCCCCCCCACACCCCCTCCCCCTAGCACCCCACATATACCACCCCACTCCAAACCCTCAAGCATATATCAATGTCCACCCCCTCCCCCCACTCCTCATGTGCCTCCCATAACCCAACACGCCCAATACCCCTCACCTCAAAATCCCCACCCCATAAATCCCCAAAAGCCATCCTCCTTCCATAAATCATCCCACCCGCCCATTTTATGAACCCATTTCCATTTTATCCGCCACCCCCCCGCCACATTTTTTGTGTCCCACATTCCGAACCCCCCCCCCTTCGCATTTCCCAAAAACCCCCCTCCTCACCACCAATCCCCACCATCCCCTCACCAGCCCCTAGTACCCACAGATACCTCAAACAATCGAACCCCCCACCCCAACGACCCCAGTCCTTCGCCCCCACCAAAGTGTTGATATTCAACGTCCCATGACCATTTTATACAACATAAGGCCGGTTGGCCGATGGGGGCGATGCAATTCCCACGGATGTGTGAGGGCGGCGGGGGGGGGTGGGGTGTGTGGGGGGTCGGGGTTGGGGATAGGGGGGTTGTGGAGGGAGTTGGGGGGCGAATGGTTGGGAGTGTTTAGACATTATTATTATTAGTAGTGAGTGGAGTTGTAGATCGTAGTAGTGTGGTGAGAGGGGCGGGTGGGGGGGGGGGGCGGGGTTGGTGGTGGGGGCGAGTAGGGTGGGGGGGGATGGGGGTGGGGCATGTGATTTGGGGTATTGCTGACGTGCCAACAAAAACACAACCACTTCTAATGTGCATCATTCATGCCCACCGACCTCACAGAGCACAACCCAAGCGCATTTCAAATTCCCCCACCCCCCCACCCCCACCCATAACCACTCAAACCCCCCAACACCCCCCCCCCCCCATTCCCACCTACCCCAATTCAACCTCCCTCCTCCCTCAACCCCCCCCTTCAACCCCCCACCCCCGGGGTCTTAGAGTGCGGACCCCCCTCCGCACCCTTATACACCCCACTCCTCCCCCCCACCACCCCCCCCAAATTAAACCCCCAGTTACCAATCCCCCCCACCCCCACCCCACACCCCCACATCCCCCCAACAAACCCACAATCCACGCCTCAACCCACCCACATCTCCCCACTCGACCCCTACACATTGCCCAATGTAATCAATATGTTAAAATCCAGCCCCCCCCAACCTACCAAACCCTCATCCCCAAAATAATCATCCCACCAGAATCCGTCCACCCACATACGCAATCAGACGTACCATTCTACACAATCCCGATTCCTCCCAAACACCCATTTAAACCCCACTCCATAAACCGTCAACCAATACATTAATATCCCAAATTTCGCTCCCCCAAGCCACCACCCCGCAACATCCACCCCCCCGGTCCGCCCCTCACACATATTACACCACGCCAAAATCCTCCCAGCAACCATCACGTCATCCCCACTTTTCTAAGACCGTCCCCCCACCCCCCCATATTCTCCCACCACACGCCATCCCCTACGCCCTCCCCCACCCATCCCCTAATTTGTCACCATTCCACCCACCCACCCAATCACAACCCAAATTGTGACCCCCACCAAGTTCACCCCATCAATCACACACATGAAGACCATAAAACCGCGTCCCCACCATGTGTGTCCGCTCCACTGAAAGAAGACCTCAAAAGTGTGGTGGTGAAGTTATTGGTTTGCGGTCTACAAATATAGAACAAAAACTATCCCTCCACCACATCCCCCCACCATACCCCAACATAAATATCTCAATTCATTCACTATGTAAGACAACATCCACGATAAACACGCAATCACATAATTCCTCCCCCACATACACCGCTAGTGCTCAGCAGACCACCAACGCCCCAATCTCAACGTACACAACACAACCGCACCAGCGCCATTATTATGCGGGAGGGGGGGGGCGGGTGTGGGCGTGGGCGGGGTAGGTCGGGGTCTGGGTGGTGGGCTGCGGGTGTGGGCGTGGGGGGAGGGGGGTGAGGTGGAGGGGTTGGGCGGGGCTTGAGTTCGTGAGTGATTATTAAAATTAGTGAGGAGAGGATTGATGAGTCGGATGTAGTTTGTGAGATGTTGGGGTTGGGGTCGGGGCGGTGGGGCGGGGGGGGGGTGGGGGGGGAGGGGTGGTTAGTTGGGGGGGTGGGTGTGAGTGGGGGGGTGGGGGGGGGAGAGTGTGAGCGGACGGGGCGGGGGGGCACGACACAGGGGGCAATAGTCGACCCGAATAAAATCACATGATGTGTGGTAATTTACAAGCTGGTTTCTTACAAGTTGACCATCCAAAATAAACCCTAGACCCACCCCATTGTGGCGCCCCCCAAACTCCCATTGTAAGTAAACCAGCGCGGCCACACTCCACCAGCATCTCGCATAGCACAGCGCCAACGAATGCACCACTCCCAAGACACCAGCCTCCAATCGCTCCAAACGAATATTGTATAAGCCCCTCCGCCAACCCCCCGCAGCCAATTCTCAGTAAATGCACCCAGCCCACCCATCTCCCCATTCACTAACAATTAATATAACCCAATTTCAACACCCCATTTCATGTGGCCATACACCCCCAGCAATATCCATTCGGATCGGTTCATAATCGTCGCCCCCTGGCACGCCCCCCGCCTCCGATTTCCCACCCCCCTCCATCCCTACTCAACCTCCCGGCCCGCTATCTCCATATCGACCAGACATTTCACAAATAACATGCCACCCATAATTTCCCATCCCACCCTCTTTATCTCCCAACCCCGCTCCCAATCCTACCCCCCATATTTCTCTCACGAACCACTATCTCCCACCCCCACCTTCATCACCCCCCCCCCCACCATGCCAACCGTCAACCAACCTATACCGAATTCCACAAACTCCAGCCACACTCCCCTGACCAACTACCCGCCTATACCCCCACCGGCCCGCCAATTTTCCTCCACCACGACTCCCACCCAGCAGCCAAAACAACAAGCTAGCACCAACGCCTCCAACCCCATCCAACATTATGCCCCCGACAAAAACATTGTGCATATTCCTCCATTCCCCCACTCCATCTCCAAAACCCATGAACAACCACATTTCGATCAACCATCTTCCCACAAGTTACAACCTCATCGATTTCCCCCCTCCCACTGCCGCCCTCTCCACCCCCACCTCCAATATAGGGGGGAGTCAAAGGGGGCAGGTGGGGGGGTGGGGGGGTTGGGCGTGGTGGTGTTGGGGGTTGTGTGCGGGGGGGGGGTGGGGGATGGGATATCTGTCGAAGTTGCGTGTTAGAGTTTGCAAGTACATGTATTGTTTTGTATATAGTATGTGGTTTTGTTCATTGGTGTGGTAATTGGTGGGGTGGGACGGGGGGGGTCAGTTGGGGTTTGGGGGCGCTGATGGGGTGTGCAGGTGGGGGGGGGGGGACTGGGGTGGGGGGTGGGGGTGAGGTGGTGGTGCGGGGTTGGGGGGTGGCTGCTCAAGGGAGCCGGGGCGGAGCAACCTGCTATTCATCCTCACCCCCATCCCCATTATCCCACAATATCCCCCCCCACCCTCCCATCATCACCCAAATCCACATATTTCCCCAAACCCTATTCCTCCACCACACCACCCCCCACGCCAGATGCCATTCCCCTACCCATTCAAAAAAACCACCCCCACTCACCTACCATGCCCCATCACCTCACCCCATATCCAACCATTATCATGTCTACTATTTTTTTCCTCAATCTCCAACGCCCACAACAACAGGTTCCTTTCCCATTTTATTCATTCTGACCAATTGTTAAATCTAAACACCTCCTCCACCGCGTCCTCCCCTCTGCCAACCATCCCCTCACTCCCGCCCTTCCCACAGACCCAATATTAAACTATCCACATCTCACTAACCAATTCCATAAACCAACAATTGATTCCATACGATAAAACATGTAGCAATTTGTGTAAAAATCCCACCAATGTAAACAACATTTACCCCCCCCATGTTGAATTTTGGTGTAACCGACAACGCCCCCCATCAATACCCCATTCTTCCCACCCCCGAATTTCTAACTCTGTGGGTCCTCTCCATTTACCACCCCATTACACCGCCTTTTAGCCCGGTGGGATGTAATACCCTCCCCACGCCGCCCCCAGACAAAACCATCCATCCCATCCAAATGACTCCATAAGTACCGCAAGTGTTTGACAAACACTACTCATAATGTGTTGTCTCTAATCACATGTTAAAGATAAACAAAAGTTGTGTGTTTGTCTATGACCCCCCATTCACCTCACACCAAACCATCAAACCAATCCTCACATTAATTTTTTCCAGATCTCCCACCCCAAATTTTTTATCATTGTATAATAATATTCATGTATATTATATAAATTACAATTTTATTATTTTCAGTATCCCAGTTGTAATACCAATGTGCATATACCCCCACCCATTACCCCCAACAAGATCCCCACATACCCCCGTAATGTTCCCCCCCCCCCATACATCAAATCCACCCTCACCCACCACTAATTAACCAACCAACACCCCACTCAGCCCAATTCCCCCTCCCCCCCACATCGCAAATATCCAAAAAAACCACATTTGAAAGTTGTGAAATCCTCATGTGAAATTTATCCAAAAAGCAGGTTGTGTAAGTCTCTTACAATTGTGTGCACCATCACCCCAAATGTCAGACCCCAACAAACGATTAATTTCCACCCCCCCAACCCTCACTGCAGACACCCCCGCTGCACCAGACCATGTCTACCCATCATCCAAACGGAAACAACCACGCCGGGCCGCGGAGGGGGGGCGGATGGTCTCCTCAGTGGGGGCGGGCGGGGGCGGATTGTGCGGTGGGGTGGTAGTATGAAAGTATTATTATGCATGATGAGTGACTAGGGGGATGGGTGGTCGGGAGGGGGTGGAGGCGGGGGGGAGGGAGGGCCCGGTGCTTTGGAATTACTTCAAATGCCACACCCCCATTACCAAACCCCACTAAACCATCAACATCGTCAACACCATCATATATAAGTTCGCCCCCCCAAAAGCAATCAAACACCTTATGTCCCTAATAATCCATTTCCCCCCATCCTCCTACCCCCCCATTCACACCCTTCCTACCCAGCAAATTGACCACTCAAACAATTGCCCCCCCACCCCAATGTATTATCACAAATAACGATTAATGGATACATGGAGAAAGTCCCAGAAGGCCCCCCCCGCACAAACCCCACACACCATCATCCCCCCCACATACCCCCACCCCTCCCCTCCCATCCACAAACTCCCCGAACCAACACCACATTGCACACCCAATGTTTTAGCCCCCCAAGTTGTTACGACTCATCACACCACCATCATAATCATCGCCAACACCACAAAATAATTAGTCTCCATTATCCAAACACCACACCACCCATTTTGCAAACAACACGCCCCATCCGCCCCCGAAATAAGCAAATATGCAAACCAACCACCCCCACCCCAAAACACCGCGAACCTCCCCAACCCTACCCAACCCAAACCCTCCCAAACCATAACCACCGCCACCCACCCTAGTCAACCCCCCCATCACCCTCCCAATCCCCAACCATCCCAATCCCAAGTCCCCAATTCAGTGACTCAAACCCCTCCAACGTCATACCAATATGAACTATTTCAGATCCGATCCCAGATATACCCTACACACTCTTCTCTCCATTCACCCCAACAACATACCACCAACTGACTCTCCCCACCAACGCCTCTCAAAAAGTGATGAGTCATACATTGACCCAACCTCTATCCCATCAACCATATCCATACTCCCCCCCCAAATCTAAAAAAGATATCTGTGTTTTTCATAAATTCCCACGCAAACGACCCCCAACCCCCTTGGATCTCGTGGCCGGGGGGGCTCCTCGAGGGGATACAGGGGGCGCGTGAGGGGAGGAGGGGTGCTTGTACAGCAGGGGCGGGGACCGGGATCAAGCGTTAGAACGCAGGCGAAGTCAGGGCCCAGTTTATGGAAAATGAGTCATCAAAATTTGTTAAAAAAAAACGCAGCAAATAAGTGCCAAAAAGAGACCACAAAATGCCACAAACAGCAACAGAAAAGTGACAAAAGAACAAAAAAAAGTTACAAAAAAGCGATTAAAGTGCAACACAAAAGTGGAAAAAACAAGTAAATTTTCAAAAACTCAACCAATAATGTGAGATTAACTAAAGAAAAGAATGGCAAAAATGTAACAATTAAAAGTGAGAAAAAACTGAACACAAGAGACAAAAACGCAAATTAGGTGTAAAATAATGTGGAAAAAGTGATGGTAACAACACAAGGAAAAAGATGAGTTCAGATCAATTTTGTAGGTCTTAGCTTTTGAATGAGGCACTTGCACTGGCTTTAGGTTGCAACTTTTAGATTTGGGTAAAGCTCAACTGGAGAAAATGCACTCCTTTAAGGCGGGAAGTAAGGGGTTAAAAATGTTTTCCTGTTCGACTTCATGATATTCATATTCATAGTTCACCAATTTTCCATACTGATTATTGTTCTTACCTTAGCTTTCATGGCTTCATCGTGTTATTGCTGATGTTTTTATTTTATTGTTCCGCAGTCTGTTTTTGTCATCATTGTTCAGATAATTGTTGTGTAAAAGTATATTCTTGTTTAATTAATAAAACGGTTGAGCCTTAAATTTGTGTTCAGTGTCCTGTGTTTGAATTGTAATAATGCATGTGATTCTTGCAAATAAATATTGGCAGAATATGCTTTTTTAGACATTAAAATTATCAGCAATTGTATTTTTATTATGCACTTTCAATCTAGTAAAATTATCTATATTTCAATGAAATAATTGTGCTGCTAAAACATAATTTTATTGATGGTTCAATGTGAACAAATTGTGGAAAATTGCATGATAAAGTCACGTTTGTCTAATGTAAAATTCTTAGGTATAGTGAACAGGAGATATTCATTACAATGTAACGTGATTTTTTTATGTGCAATATTCATGTTGACATAACATGATTTTATTATATGCAACCGATGTCCATACTTTTTTTATGTTAATCCAACAGATTTTTTCTTTCAGTGTAATATAATATCCATCTATGGTGCAGCTCCGTGAGCAGATACTCCTGTTATATGATGTCTCTGGAAGATCACGGGACACAGAGACTTTACACAAAAAGCTGCAAGCTTAAACCATCAAAGTCCTTGCGTTTTTTTGCCTCGCAGGGCAGTACATCAGATTTACTATACTCATGAGGCTGGAATTTAGTGAGCATGCGTCTTGGATGTAGCGTCAATGTGTTGGGAACGCACCCTTAGTTTGCATTAGCAGTGGGAACCAAATGGAAACCAAAGCGTTACGTCGAAGGTCAATCATGGTTAAAATGGTCAACTTTAGTTCTTTAAAATCTTCCATTACAGACAATATTGGAGACAGTTTCTGCAAAATCAACTTTTTTCAGATTTTCATCATGTTACTCCATTGTTACCTCGTCACAAACAGAATTGGAGTTGTGTTTAGATCCATCCACAGTACTATCAGGTAGGGCTGGGCGATTAATCGATTTTAATCATTAATTCGAGTTTTACGTTTAGGGCGATTTCTTTTTTTTTAAATTCGATTTTTATTTTCTCCAGCGCAGAACTACAGCGCCGCGCTAACCGCGGGTCTATGGTGTTGAGCATTCATTTTGAAGCTAACCTAATGCTAACAGTCTTCCTCTGGCCTGATGCTCGCTCTCACAGTTGGTGCTGTTGCAATAACACTTCAAACATTCAAGAATCAGACTTTATTTAATCGCCAAAACACACACACACACGCACGCAAGCCCCGGTCGCTATGTTCGTACGCCATGTTCGTACGCCACATCTTTCACGCTCTCTCACGCTCGTTATTCCAAAGCGCACTCCCGTGTCCGTGGCGCGCACACACTCGTGTCCCACTGAGCCGCTGCACTTTGGGGAAAGACACGTCTCACACATTGTTCTCATTGCTCTGATACAAACAACGTGTTCCCCGCTGTCTGCTAGCTACAGTAGCTGCTACAGTAGCTGTTAGCTACAGTAGCTGCTACAGTAGCTGTTAGCTACAGTAGCTGTTAGCTACAGTAGCTGTTAGCTACAGCATCAGAATGTAAACAGGAAGCTCGCACAGTCACTGAAGTTAGTATTAGCGCCACCAGCTGGACCGAGCGTTGTACTACAGCACAGTTACTCAGGCACAGTTGAAAGAACAAGCATGAAAACCCGAGGAGGCTTTTGGAAAAGACTGTCTGTTACAACATTTCTACTTTGAGTAATCAGTTTTAAAAATGTGATATTTCATGTAAATAATGCATGTGTTTAATAGGATTGATATATTTGCGATGGGCCTTGTTTGTGTGATTTAAGTTATTTTGAAGGTGCATAGTGTCATTGTAAGTGAAGTTATTATAAAACTGTTAAGCTACATTTTCACTGTTTACAATGGCAGAGCCATCTCGTTTACAAGCATGTTTTAAGGCTTAATTCCTGTTACACTTATGCTCCATGGGGATTTAGATTAAACTGCATAAAGGAAAATCTATTTCTTTGTCAGTTGTAGTTTGTTTTTAAATAGAAAAAAATAAATCGATTTAAAATCGAAAATCGGATTTGGTGTGAAAAAATCGGAGATTTTTTTTTTTTGCCATATCGCCCAGCCCTACTATCAGGACAAAATTCCGCCCCTTCTGTCTAGAAACCCATGTAACAGTATGGTGTCATTGTACCCCTACAAAATCACTATGACATCACACTTGGAGCGGTATTCTGCCTCTAAAACAAAAGTATTGAGACCAGAGACCAGAGTGAGAGAGAGGTGGTTACACAAAAGCAAACATCAGCACGTGGCTCCCACTCAGATACCAAAAGCTGTGGGAGCTGCTGGGACATTATCCAACACTGTAGAGCTCTTCAGCATGAACTTCATACAGGCTCAATCTACCACTGACCAGAGACACACACCATCACCATATATATCGCAATATATATATATCGTTATTGTTTTATCGCCCAGCCCTAAGTGTGGTGTGCTCCTGCTGTTGGAATGAAGACCTGCAGCCACACAGCCCTTTGAGGACCAAGTTGAATACTTCTGTTCTGCACCATCACAGTGTGTTGTTTTTTTGATCCATTCAAGCTATTATAGTGTGTTACAGAGTTGTGTGAGAGTAAAAAATCATACCACAACATGCTGTCTTCATCTTATTAGAAACATGTTTTATCTTTTGTGTCATAAAGAGCCCTGTGAGTCACTATTTGACCCTGAGTGAGGGTGGTCCAGTCTTTTTCACTTGCCTGTCTGAAAAAGGTTTCTACTTGCTGGTCCCTCTCTCTGGTCTCTCTCTCTGGTGAGGCGTTGTACACAGTGTGGACCCGGGTGTAAACAAGAAGCTGATGCAGGACGTCATCTGAACAATGAGCAGCACATGGGGCATCTGCTCGCTGCAGGCGAGAGCAGAAACTGCCAACTCCCCCTGATCTTTCTGCTGCTGGTGTTAATCAGGCGAATCCCCCCTGAAGTAAATACTGTTATTATTCGGTTAATTGACTGAAAATGGCAGAGAAAAACTACATACATTAAAGCTGGGATACATAACATTAGTTTCATAAATAACACATGTAGTTTGTGCAACAGAAAGTCTTAAAGTAAAATTTTGTGATCAAATCAGTCCACAAAATGTCCTCATCTTTTGACAAAACATGTAATCGAAGTCGGTGACAGAGGCCAGAAATACACAATGTGGACTTCTCTGTTCTCTCCTGGGTCTTTATCTCTTTGGTCTCTCTCTGGTCATAAAAGCAACTGCCCAAAGTCTTATGGTGACCACTTCATTCACCCAAACACAGCTCCAA